TTCACCGTCAATGCGACCCCCACCTGCGGGAGCGGGGGGAAGAGGCTCAGCGAGGCGTCCAGGAACTCCGCGGGGAAGCCCTCCGCGTCCGGGGAGAGCGGGGGGAGGGGGTCCTCGCTCGGGACCGGCGCCGTGAAGCGCGCCATCCGCTCGAACGGGTTGAAGACGGGTTTCGGTTTCTTACCACTTCCTTTGCGAGCCATCCGGATCGGCGTGTTTGCTTAGTCTTGATGATGCGAGCGCCCTCGCGCGGGGTCGACCGAGACGAGGAAAGAGAAGGAAAAGAGTGGAGAAGAGAAACGAGGCGATCCATCCACACACCGGCATCGGGGAAGACGAGCTCACATCCGGCTCGCCCTCCCCGAAAATCATCCTCATCATCAGCATCATAAGAAAATAAACATTTCAGTGCCCATGGAAGACAACCCCCAAAGCGACACCAACGTCAGGTCTATTCACAGATCATGTCATGGCGAAAAAATAAAGAAACAGATTCATGATTAGAGACAACCCTTACGTCTACTTAGATTCACTAACCAAGCACCCGTAAGGGAGACTCGTGGTAAAAGATAAAGGGACGGAAATACCACACAACCGCGCCGTAATAATCGGCTCGGCGTACCTCGCGCGGAGTGTGAGGGAAAAGGCCAAGCGTCTGTGAGCATCGTCTTCGCTTTTGCAGCCTCTCTCCCCCTCCCCTCCCACTCCAGTTCGTTATGCACACAACGGTGCGGTTTAGCATCCCCGCGTTGATCACCATCGCTGTGGAGAGGAGACTACCCCTCTTGGTAATATTACAATACGTCCAACTTCAAGAAATGGCACCCACGAAGACGGGGAAAATAATAATAATCGAAATCCACACGAGCCCCTTTCACTTCCTTCCCACAGGAAGAATACATCGCCGTCCAAAAGGATCTCATTTGGTGACCGATCGAGCGTGAAAAAATAAATAAATGCAAAGCAGGAGCGTGAGCGATACCTTTCGTCGTTTATCCGTGAACGCCCGTTGTGGATGTACTTCAGGTGCCATTCGCTGCCTCCATTTTATCAACCACCGACCGCACTTTCGATTTCCACGGAGGTGAATTCCACTGCAATGAAAGACGCATGTAGAAGGATTCTGCATAGCTCGTGCGAAAAATGGTTGTCGTGGCGATTGATCGAACCGTTTACCCCACCTCCTGGGGGTCGCGTGGGAAACCGACCACTTCAGGTAGGCGCGGCGAGCAAGCCCTTCGACGGTCTGAATGAGAAGCTTAAACCTCCTGTGGTGAGTTGGATTACGGTCGAGACGCACGCCGTGCGGGATGTGTGTGGGGTTTTCTTCTTACAGGATTTGTTTCAAATGACCGACCGCGTTGTGGATGTAGGTCCACTCGAGAACCAACCGCTTGAAGGTCTCCATATCATTCGCATGCCAGGCCTCCTTCGCGCGATCATAGTAATCGGCGTTGCGCTCCTTCAGGTCGTATTGCAAGACTTCCAACCGCACCCGGGTATTCGGATCCTCAAGATCGGAACCGAAGATGAGTTCATTCATCGCCATTAATTCCACCATGAACTCCTCATCAAGCTGATCACTGGCTGATTTTCGATGCTGCGCCATGCTTTTCTTATCATCCTCGACGAGAAGGTTCTCCTCCTCCTCGGAAGTCAGAGGCTCCCCCCCTTTATCCTCTTGCGCGAGGAGAATTCGATAGAGATACTTACACCGAAGAAACGGATCGCGTAGGGTTTCATACGCCGAGTTCGCGTACACAGAGACGTCCGTGGCGTCGACCCCTTGGCGTTGATCTTGAGAAGCCATCACGGCGGCTTGGTCCGGGTGAACACGGCTCTGAAGGGCGTGGTAGCGCTTCTGCAGCTCCGCCACGTCGACCTCCGGTTGTTTCGGGAAATTAAAAAAGGCGAAAAAATTTCCCTTTCCCGCATCCACGGCGTTCCGGGAGGCCATTAGTCGACGGGAAACGCAATCCCGCATCGTCGGCCATCCCGCGCGGAGCACGTACCGACGTAAAACCATGCGTAGCGGAGCAATCAATGCTTTGAGGAACTTACGTATGTATGAAATGGAATGGTAATTTAAACTTCCCGACTTGACTTTCTACAAGAGACATGGAGTGGAGTGATTGGGGTTCACACGCAGCGTTATACGGCGATTGCGACGTTCACATCATCCAAAAAGTCCAACAAGGCGTTAAGCCCATCAAGGTGGACGCATGGGATATCTTTGTTTCTTTCAGTGCTACTTTGACTTGACTACACGCCACTCCGTAGCGTGGTAACTTTTCTCCAAACAACAAAAAGAAGCAAAACCAAAGTGATCACATTAATTCGTTCTAATTTTCACATACATGAGGTATACATGAGCTTCTTTATCGTTTCTCCCCCACACGCGCTTCTTTTCGGCTGCCCATTCCTGGAAAGCGCGGAATAGGCGAGATCGCACCCTCGCTAGGGTATCATTCCCGTGCAAACAGCAATATTCGACCTCCTTTCGTGGTATTCCCCTCCCCCCCCCCCCCCCCCCGTTTCTGCGTCCATCTCACGCCTCTCCGATCATGGTGCCGATCTCCACCCCAGGCGTTCCCGCCTTCTCCGCCAGACTTCGCAATTTCTTAAGATGCTCCTCGGCTTTTTGCATCCGACGAAACCACGTCATCGCGTCGGCCTCGTCCTCGTCAAAATCCGCCGAGGCGTAGCTGAGGCTGTGGAGTTGCCGCCCGGAGTTGTGGGGGCTGGAAGGTCGAGGTTCCGACGGCGTTCCCGCCCTCGCCGGCCCCCGCTCGTTCCCCATCACGCACTCTAAACTCCGCCGCCGAAAAAACGCGACCCGGGATTCCACAAACGGAATGGAGTACAACAACGCGCCGATGAGGTTGTTGACGGAGAGAAACGCGGGAATGGGCTGTGGATCCTCCACGGGGGTGCCGCTTTCGGCCGCGAC